CAAGTTTAGGAACCAAAATGTATGACTTTGGTAAATTAAAAAACCATTTAATTCAGCTGGAATTGGTCCTTTATATCCAGATTCAAGCTGAAAAAACAAAGAGAAAGAGAGGTTGGTAAGTTGGCGAAAGAAGAAGAAATGGAGAGAAAAGAAAAGAAATTGAGAGAATTCTAGAGATAAGGCATTAAATGAAGGATAGAGGGATTAATCCAAGTGTGTCACACTTGGCAAAATCACAAGGAAATCCTTCTCCATAAATATGGCAAGAAAAGGAAGAAGATGGGTGATGGAAACTTGAAAACTAAAGGAAAATCAAGTTGAATTCAAGGCAAAATCAAAACAAATTAAGCCTACCCACCACCTAAAATCACCTAAAACACCTTAGATACACGAGTAAATACACTCTAGAGACACTTGAAGAAATCAAGCAAAGGAAGAAAAAGTGGAGGCTTGGCTGAAACATTAAAGAAGAAGGAGGAGGAAACTTTAAGCAACCAAGAAAAAATTTGATCAAACATAAAATGAGGTAAATGTAGTTCTCAGCATAACATTATAAGAAAATAATTAAATTGATGTTTGATTGTTTATATTTTGAAGTTACAGAGATTGTAAATTGGTGGGCTTTGGTTTAATTGATGTATCTTGATAAATTGACGGTGAAAACATGTTTTTGAAGATTGGAATAACATGTTTGATGGTTCAATTATTAAAAATATAAGCCCAAAAAATGTTGTATCAACAAACAAAAGAAAAAATTATGATAAAATAACACCCATACGGCCTAAGTATAAAGTCATGGATCCTTTTATATATATATATATATATATATATAAAGTGCCTGTATTCTCCTAAATTTATAGATTCAGTGCTTCTAATTTTAAAAGTTAACAAATGCCCACGTTGCAATTTTATGTCGGATAAAAATTAAAATTAAAACTAAATATGGTAAAACCCCTAAGAATCCTAATATATTACCGGTAGTTATTACAATTAGTTAAAGAAATCCAATATCGTTTAATCTCTAGCTAGTTTCTTGATTTGCCTCGTATACCAAAAAGGAAAAAGTAAATTGCCCAATATATTATTTAATATACCAACTCGAACAAGTAAAGTTAAATCCATATGTTTTAATAAATAAAAATTATTATTTTTTAAATTCAATAAATATTGGGGTGTGTGTCATTTCAAATGATATGATATTCTTCAAAAATTATATATTAATTATTTGAAACATAGGCTTTTAATTAAATATGAGAAGTTGGGAGATGGAGAGAATTTATCAGTTCCCTAAATACCCATCAGGGGCCCCGTAGAAGAATAAATGACCAATATAAAAAGCAATAACTCTAATAAATTATACGTTAATTTATACTTCAATTATTTTATTTGAAAAAATAATAGTAAATAGTTGGTGTTATAAGTATAAATGTATTATACATATTTAATTTTCAATAAAATCAATAACTCTAATACATATTTTTTTTATACGTCAAGATTGTATTCATTGGGTTAGAGCATGCAACATAAATCAAGTTTTGAAAAAAAAAAAAAGAATTTAAGTTGTAAAAAATATATTGAAGTTAGTAGAGTGCAGTAAAAAAATTACAAAATTGATTTCGATAAAATTTGATTATATAAAGAATAAGTAAATAAAATACGTGAATTTCGTTTTTGAAATTTTATTTTATATATAAAAAAAAGCAGCTAAAATGAACTACAAAAAAAATTATTCGAAAATCTATACATAAGAGAAAATAAATTATATTTATTAAAAAATAAAGTTATATAAAAAAAAATAAAAAATTAATTTGATGAGAATTTTTATAAGAAACGGTTAAATGAAGAGATCAATTTTAAACAACAAGAGTAATATAATTTGATATATATGTTTATTTTAAAATCTAAAAATATATCATATATATTTCATAATCGTCAATATTTGTGTGGAAAAAATAATGATTGGTTTTCATAATTTTCACTTCCAATTGAATAATAATAAAAAAACATAAATTGGTGGAAAAAACCAAAGAAAAATAAATAAAAAAAGAGAAAAATTAATGATTGATTTTTTATAATTTTTACATCCAATTCAATAATAAAAAGATATAAATTGATTTTTTTTGAGGGGTGGTGGTAGTAATGGTGGTGGAGAACAAAGAAAAAAATCAATGAAAAAAAAAAGAGGTAGGCCGAGGTGCTTGCCTTGGGCCTTCAGTAGCAGGCCACTGCAATAGCCTAAAACAGCAGACCAAGGGATGAAACAATTTAGGGTTTTAAAATTTTAAGAATCAAAATGAAATATGAGGTAAACTTTAAATATAAATGTCCAAAAACAATCGAAAAATTACAAAAATGCCATCTTCATCAACAGTATATGAAAAGTAATTTGTGAGGAATGGGTGATGAAAATCATTGTTCAAAAACCCTATGTCTTTTAGTTCCTTTTTAGTTATTCAATCCAGTTTTGAATATAATTCCAATATCCAAAAACCTTTTCATCTTCATCATTTTTAAATTGCCAATTTCCAGAACTTTTATCCTGTAAGCAAGATGGAAATTAAAGAATTAATTAATTTCTATCGTTAACCAACCAACCAACCATTCATTTAATGGAGGAAATTGCTTACATGATCAATCTTGTATTTTGTGGCATATGTAGCTCCACCCCTTGTCGACGATGGGTCGAGAACCAGGTCTTTGATTAGGACAAAACGTGTTGAAAAAGCGGGATTGTCCAGCCTATCATAGGTTTAAATTCAATGCTAGCTTGTAAGCTGTGAAGAATTATCATTTGGGTGGACAAATCAATTTGTTATTGTATAATATATATCCAAATTCTCTTATCGATTCCTACGTTTTCAATAAAAATGTTTGAAATATTAAATCTATCATTCTGATTAATTTTTTTAGATTATATAAAAAAAATTACCCTAAATACCCCATATTAAAATAAAAAAAATATATATTAAAGATTTTAAAAATAATCATGCAAGTCGTATGACTTTGAGTTTTTTTTTTTTTTTACATTTTACAAAATGATATTTTGATAATAAAAAAATTGATTGAAAAAATAGATTAAACATTTTAAAAGAAATTTAGAGACCAATAAAATGTAATTAAAAATTTAAAAACAAATAAAATTTTTTGGATATTATATATAAGAACAAATTTATCTATGTACTCTATCATTTATCATAGTCAAAATCACATTAATTATTTTACATAGAAACATACATACATTAGCGTAAATACACAGCCGAGTCTTATCATCTCCATACAGAGTTGGATTCACCTGAAATGGGAATAATTAATTATTATTTTGTATTAAAAACTTTAGACATGTCTAAAAACCACAAAAATAATATATATATATATATATTACCGGTAAATTGATATTCAAGTAACTTATATATTAACTTAAAGTCATTTTTCTGCTAGAGGTATCGGAAGGAGTTGGAGAGAGTCGATACGGGGGAGTCTCGGAAGCCTTGTAGCACTGGAAGTTTTTATCAAGTGGGTCGGACCTACTGCAATTATGGATAGTCTGCCTATTCTTACTGGTTAAAGCAACTTGTATGGAATCCACATCTTAAAAACAAAAATAAAATTTGGCTTCTCACAAAAACCTTTTCAAAGAATAATGCAAAAACTCTACCCTTGTCTTAAATTGTAGAAAATCACGCATGCACTGTTTGATGATTTGTCTGCCAAGAAAAAGATTGAAAGTATCTCAACCCAAAATTTAAGGATAAAGTGTATTAATTCACAAATTAGTGGTCTTCAATTATTTGGGATTGAGACTTGATGTTAACAGAAACATATTTTATTGGGGTTACGTAAGATTTTTTTTTTTTTTTTTTGGCCGCCAATAAGTATTCTTTTTAATTCGATAAAAGCTCTTCTTTGGCTACAATAAACAATCTTTTGTTTATAAAATCTCTTGTTTTGGCTGCAATGAGGAATTTGATGCTTTTTCATTTTCAAATCTTAGAATATTTTTTTAACTATTTTTTAAATATTAATAGTTTTTCTTTTCAAATTTTAGACAGGTCATCCACATTAAAATATAATATTGTATTTATAAATAAAAATTATTTTAATAATTTTTTAAGTTCAAACTTGAGACGATAAAAGGAGAGACATAACTCCTTTAAAAACTTAGACTTTAATATATATATATATTCTACATTTAGACTATGTACTTTTTGAATTTTTTAATTAAAATTATTTATTTTTTTTAGAGATTTTTTATTTCAGATCCTTCATTATAATGTTATAAATTAATCATCGATATTTTTTTAAAATTTTTTTACTTTATAATATTACGTGTCGGATCATAAATTGGTAATATTAAGGAAGAGTATTTCTAACAATATGTTCTTAAATTCAAACTCAAGAAGATGATGTGAGAGTGAAACCTTTTACCGCTAATAACTCAAAGGTTGAGGAATCTGATGCTAATGTAACTAAAGCTTGAATATTCAATAACCAGTAGCCACGGGTACTTTGAATTAGTCAAGGTCAACTATAATGAAATAAGACAAGGATTGTCTTTGGTCAGCATAAGGCCAACTCCGACAGATTTAGGGCAATAAATAGTTCATTACAGTTAAATACTACCAATACATCCAACTCTAAATATTCTTTGACAATGACTATGATATTGTAGCATTTGGTCCACGTCCTTGTAACCCTTCCTAATTTATTAATATGATTTGCATGATTCAATCAAATCGTGAAGTTTCCTGAATAACAATCAGCAAACCAAGAAAGTTGCAGTTGGGCCTCCGCACATACTGTTCTAAACTCTTCCGTACGTTGAAGATTTTAGGAAAATCTTATAAATAACACATTTTTCCATTCAAGCTTAAACCAAGAAAACTAGCTAGCTAGAATCAGCTCATGAACCATAGGTAGAAGACAAGATGATCAGGAAAAAGCACCCTTCTAAACCTGCTCTATCTTTCTTCTTTTTTCTTTCTTTGAAGATCTTCTTAGACATGGGAGTAGCCCAAAACACAACATCTACAATCCCAGTGAATGTAGGTCTGGTTCTTGACTTGGATTATTTGGATGCCAATGTTTCATTGAGCTGCATCAACATGGCGCTTTCAGACTTCTATGCTGCTCATGGTGACTACAAAACGAGACTGGTCCTCACCACCAGGGACTTCAAGAAAGATGTTGTTGGTGCAGCTGCTGCAGGTTCCCTCTCTGCCCCCCTCGTAATTATGAATCATTTTCTTATCAATTTTACAGATTATGCAACATTTTAACAGTAGAGATTTATAAATTTCAGTATTAACTATAGTTTGATCATTGAAATCTAGGTAATTGACACAATATGATCATGAGAAGATACTGCTGCATGCTTATTCTTTTTCGACGATGAGGGTATTCTTGAACACGCTTTTACGCATCTAGCTAGACAAACTCTATTTCGAATCGTTTTTTAAGTAAGTCATTCACATTCGAACCGGTATATTTACTAGAAATATCTTTCTTAACCTTTCGTCCTATTCGAACCCAAAATGATGACTTGAGAAGCAAACCCTGAGTCAATGCCTTAATATCAGGGCGGGTACTTTTTGTCTAAGCCTCTCTGCTAATGAAATGACTACTTGTTTTGACCATGTGCTGGCAATGATAAGAAGGGTCAAAACGCAGAAAAGTCTTCTATCTTGCTTTCAAAAAGTCAGCATTTGTGAGCTGTACTCTCTAGTTTGTGTCTGATATTGTAGACTATAAATTTTGCAAATTGGTCTCCTTAGTATGCTTCAGGTGCGGCTATCTTCATATGGTAGATCATTTGACTTCAGAACTATTAAAATGCAAGGAAAAAACTTTCTGCAGAACTTGCAGTTTAAATTAATTCTGAAAGTTGTTAACAAATATTTATAGACTTGACAAAAAACATCAATATAAAAGTAACCAAGACTATTGGCCGGCTTCTGATGTAATCAACATTAATAACCAAGATTATTTACACATACATTTTCCTTTAATATAGTTTTTTCTCGAGTTAAAACAAAAGTTTAAATTGATAAAATCGTTTGCCTCTAATTTTTATATATATATATATATATATATATATATATAAACAGTTACGGTCATACTTTGCTGAAAATGAAGTTTGGATTGATGGTGAAAGAAATACATAGCTAGAGAAGCATGGATGGGTAGACAAGAAAAGTATATGTGTTAATTTTATGCTGTCACAGAACCTAAAACATGACTGTAGAAAGATCATCCTATAAGAAAGTGCGATCCTATTCTTTCATTTTCTCTGCTGCACAACTCAGGTTCATGTAACAAGTCTTTAATTTTTCTTTTCTCCTTTCGAAACGCAGCCCTGGACTTGATAAAAAATGTGGAAGTGCAAGCAATATTGGGGCCAACAACATCAATGCAAGCCAATTTTGTTATTGACCTCGGAGAAAAAGCTCAGGTGCCAATAATATCGTTTTGTGCAACGAGTCCTTCTCTTACTTCCATTAGGAGTTCCTATTTTTTTCGAGCTATACATAATGACTCAACTCAAGTGAATGCCATAAGTGCATTGGTTCAAGCCTTTGGATGGAGAGAAGCAGTACCCATCTACATCGACAATGAATATGGAGAAGGAATCATACCTTATTTGACTGATGCTTTGCAAGCAGTTGATGCTCGTGTCCCCTACCGGAGTGTCATTTCGTCATCAGCTACTGACGATCAAATTGTTAAGGAGCTTTATAAGTTGATGACGATGCAAACTAGAGTTTTCATTGTGCACATGTATCGGTCTCTTGGAACTCGGCTTTTCACCAAAGCTGAAGAGATTGGAATGATGAGTGAAGGATATGTTTGGATCATGACTGATGGTCTGACTGCTGATTTCTTGACTTCACCAAATCCTTCTGTCATTGATACAATACAAGGGGTATTGGGTATTAAACCTTATGTTCCAAGAACAAAAGAGCTTGAAAGTTTTCGAGTTCGGTGGAAAAGGAATTTCTTACAAGATAATCCAAATAGCATTGATGCTGATTTGAACATTTATGGACTATGGGCCTATGATGCTACTACAGCATTGGCCATGGCAGTTGAGAAAGCTGGAACTACAAATTTTGGCTTCCAAAAGGCAAATGTTTCTAGCAATTCGTCCACGGATCTTGCAACTCTTGGCATCTCTTTAAATGGTCCACACCTTCTTGAAGCTATATCAAACACTAGTTTCAAAGGCCTTACAGGAGATTACCTTTTTGTTGATGGGCAGTTGCCATCACCAGTTTTCCAGATAGTTAATGTGAATGGAAATGGAGGAAGAGAGATTGGATTTTGGACATCAACAGAAGGACTTGTAAGAAAATTGAATCCTAGAATAAACAAACTTAGGAATTCAACCTCTGCGTCCGGTATCTCAACTGTAATTTTTCCAGGGGATATAACTTCTGTTCCCAAGGGTTGGGAGACTCCCACTAATGGGAAGAAGTTGAAAATAGGAGTGCCAGTGAGGGATGGCTTCAGTGAGTTTGTGGCAGTGACAGAAGATCCTAGTTCCAACACCACAAAAGTCACTGGATACTGCATAGATGTTTTTGACGCTGTAGTCAAAGCATTGCCTTATGCTTTGCCTTATGAGTACATCCCCTTTGCCAAGCCTGACGGCAAGCCTGCCGGAACTTACAACGATCTGGTCTATCAAGTGCACTCAAAGGTAAAACATAATTCTATCTTTTGCTGTACTTATTCTGTGTTTTTTATATTGCATTGAATACCATACACATTGACGAAAGCATGCTTGTTTCTTTCGCAATTAATTTTGCTTACTGTCAACAGAATTATGATGCTGTGGTTGGAGACATCACCATTGTCTTCAACAGGTCCTTATACATCGACTATACGTTGCCTTTCACAGAAAGTGGTGTCTCCATGATTGTTCCTATTGCAGACAACAACAGCAAAAATGCATGGGTCTTCATGAAACCTTTGACATGGGACCTTTGGGTGAGCAGTTTTTGTTTCTTTGTTTTCATTGGATTTGTTGTCTGGTTTCTTGAGCACAGAGTAAATGAAGATTTTCGAGGGTCTGCTTCAGATCAGGCCGGCACTAGCTTCTGGTTTTCCTTCTCGACAATGGTTTTTGCACAACGTAATCTCCCTTCTCCTGTTGCACCTTTTTTTTATTTTTTTATAAACTCACACACCCAATACTCCTAACACAACTGGTCTGCTAGGATTTGAACCTGCGATCTCTAGTTGCAAGAGACCATTACCACTAAGCTACATAGCACTCCAATATATATGAACACCAAATGACTTTATGTTTATATTTACAGGGGAGAGAGTGGTTAGCAACTTGTCTAGAGCAGTGATAATCATATGGTGTTTCGTTGTGTTGATTCTCACGCAGAGCTACACAGCCAGTTTAACGAGCCTACTCACCGTCCAGCAGCTACAGCCTACAGTTACTGATGTACATGAGCTCATTAAGAATGGAAAGTATGTTGGCTACCAGAAGGGTTCTTTTGTTCTAGAAATCTTGCTAGGCTTGGGTTTCGACAATTCCAAGCTCTTGGTGTATGGTTCTCTAGAAGAATGGCACGATCTTTTCTCCAAAGGAAGTGGAAATGGTGGTATTGCTGCTGCTTTCGACGAAGTGGCATATCTAAAGCTCTTTCTGTCAAGATATTGCTCCAAATATACCATGATTGATCCTACATTTAAAACCGGCGGTTTTGGCTTTGTAAAATCTCTTTCCAATCTTGGTATTTCCATTTCCTCTATGGCTAATAAGTGCATAGTTTCTCATGTATCCTTTCCTTTTGTGACTTCAGGTCTTCCCTAAAGGTTCTCCTCTAGTGCCTGATATATCGAGGGCAATATTAAACGTAACCGAGGGGGAGAAAATGAAGCAAATAGAGGATGCATGGTTTGGCAAGAAAAGCAGTTGTCCGGATTCCAGCACCTCAGTTTCATCTAATAGCATAAGTCTCGATAGTTTCTGGGGATTATTTTTGATTGCCGGACTAGCTGCATTTTCAGCTCTTATTATCTTCGTAGTCATGTTTGTTTACCGAGAAAGGAGAGCCTTGAGGCCCTCTGATTCCACAGCTTCAATATGGAGTAGAATTAAAAATTTCATTACAATTTTCAATCAAAGGGACATGACAGCCCGTACTTTCAGACAGAGTGAACTGAATGATAGAAATGGCATCAGTCCGGCTACTATGGGCGTGCCAACTCCGTCAGCATATTCAGTTCATGCAGAATTTCCTGCCGATCCATCTTCAGCAGGCTATGATTCTAGTCCGAGTAGGCAAGCACCTCAAGAGGGAGTTATAGATATCGATCAGCTTACCGACCAAAATCAAGAGAGACCAACAGCTTTGGAGATAGACCATGAAAATACATGACTTGTAGGTTATCATTTGACACTGATGACACCAGTAGCCATTAGCATTGTAAGGAAATTGAATTTACTGTATTGCATATACATAGAAGTTAGATGATTCTATTTGGATGTAGGTAGGTTTAGACAGAGATTCAGTAATTGAATTACGGTATATTTCTTGCCTTTTCTTTTCCTCTTTGAGTGCTAATTCTGTTATTTTGTTACTGAAGAACATCCTGCATCACCTTCTGTACCTTATTATTTGTGGACACTTCTCTGCCATTTCTTTCGAATCCAAACTTAACAAGAACCCAGAGATTGCCTAATCTTTAAAGGAAATATGTTAAAATGATCTGGGAGAAGGGAAAGAATATGGCATGGATCTATACAACTTCTATTGAGATACTAATGGCTGCAAAGTACATGTTACATTGGTTGCAAAACTTTCCTAGCATTTTTTGTACACAAATTTACAGAAGACATCATGGTAAATATTGTTCCAAGCACACTTTTATTTTTTGATAAGTCACAGGCTTTGAAACAAATGAATCCATACCATTAGCATAGAATTCCTCTGCACTATCTGATAACCATAAATCGGCTGGTATAGAAACCAAGCAACATTGCTGTGTTTTGATGAATAACAATTAACAGGGTAGTAAGATTACAAGTGAATCAGGAGACCAAATGGGTATCAAACTTTTAAGGGCTATTAAGAGTGAAGTGCTCTCCGCAATTATAGTAATCCGCTTATCATAATGAACAGAAATCTGGCCATCTTGTAATGAAGCTGAGGATGGTGCACATGGCTCTATTCCAGCTGTAATAGCAGCATCCCAATTGCCAGTTTCTTCAAAAGAACGAATCAATTGTGTAGCTTGAAGGCCATTCATAACCAGCATGCTGACGTCCTGCAGAATAAGTATGATACATGGTTACTAAAACTTAAGAATCCAAATGTGCAGCATAATCGAAATTGCATTCTCACCTAAACTCATCAGAAGAAGCATTAACAAAGAAAAGGCCGCAGTAGAAATGACTTGAATCTAGAAATTACCATCAAAATGAGATCGTAAAAACAGGACTGAACTGCACGCACAGCTTCAGCTCCGTTGTTCACGACATCCGTGGTATGGCCTAACTGCTTCATCATTGATTTGGTCACCATTACATTGATCTTGTTATCTTCCACTAGAAGGATCCTAGGCTTTGGTTTTGATTCTGGTTCTTGTGGAATGCTGCTAGAAGTGCACTGAGAACTTACGCCAGATTTCTCTTGTTCCTGACACGACCCTGATGGCTCACCTTTATTAGCCCTTAGGACCAGGTCTTTGCTTGATTCGGTGTGATTATTGCAGTTTGTAGTACCATTTGGAATTTTACTTTTTGTGTCATCTTGAAATTGTTTGCTTCTGCAAACTACGTTATAGTTGCCGCATTCCGGGCTGTGACTAAATGAGCCCCGTCTACATCAGCTGGTCTCCAGAGCTAAGGGGAGAATAGTATCTTGAAACACTAGGCAAGATTAAGGCCACGTTCTTTGATTAAATTGGTCACATCACAATTCACAAGTTGCCGGTTTGCTGTAGATTTCCAGTTTTCTCTTTGCGATGATATCAGAATAGATGAATTGCTTTATTGGTAAGGACTAGTATTTTTTTCGCTTTTTGTCATGGTAAGAAGTGCAGCTTTGCTCTTCACGGGAAAGTGATATTTATGAAAAGTTCTATCAGGGTATCAATCATTTGAGAGTAATAAGGCATCCAATGGCAGCTGCACTTGTCGACTATGGGAGGTTGCATTTTTTGTAGAGCCAAAGCCAGAGAATGTGGAGGAATTTTAAAATTTTCCTGGAGAAGAAGGTATTCAAGGAAAATTGACTGGAAAGATGTCTACATCCAGAGCAAAAAGATTGCCCACAGAGCAGGATGTGAGGTAAAAGCCAGCACATGCTTGCAACGAAACTGCTTTGGCATTGGGATTTCTTTCAGAGTGTTCTAAACTTTGGCAATTTAAAGCTTAAAGTGTTCATAACATAATATATAACAGGATGCAAGTAGAGCTAGGACAAGATTCTAAATGTTTGCACATGATGCCATCCACAGTTTCAAAGAGGATAGAGAAGCAGAAATTGGAAAGAAAGTCCTACTCTTGCAGTATATAGCTAAAAATTTTGCAATTTAAAGCTTAAAGTGTTCGTCACATAATATATAACAGGCTGCAAGTAGAGCTAGGAGAAGATTCTAAAAGTTTGCACAATGCTTGGGATCATTGGAAGCATATGCAGTATTTCTTGCATTCTGTTAGACGAACTGTATTGGAGTTTTTTTTTTTAATATCAATCGCATCGTCGCTAAAAAAATACGCATCAAAAGATCTGATAACTATACTGCTGCTACATACAGAAAGCATAAGGAATGTGTTCTTCCCAAAGGAAAGTAAATGGAAGAGTACTCAGCATGGTTGAACCACTAACTTAGCATGCCCAAACTAACATTGCACATCCCAAAATTCAAATGCAGGCTAAATAATCTCAACCATTATAAACCACTGCCACGAAAAGACAGCAACTAGAGGACATAAGGAGAGTCCGAATCTTATAGAGACTAAAAGAGTAACAAGGTCAATTGAACAGCCCAGTGAAATCATATCCATGAGAAGAGAAGGACAAGAGGAAGAGGGAGGAGGAGGCCAAGGAGAAGGAAAGGTATCCAGTGATCATCTTAACATTGACACCAAGGCCAAGGGCTCGGCAGATAGTCTCAGCACTATCATGCCTTGGAGGGTCGAAAAGAGGCAAGAGACCCACAAACTCCCATGGTGATCCTTCACTTGCCTTGTTCTTCTCTGGAATTGTCTATAAACAGGGAAAAAAAATACACATGCCATCGAACAAATAGCATTTCAGCTAGAAAGTAGCTTGCTTTATTCTAAGGAATCATGTGAAATGAGTAGCGAGAAAATCAATGTCACCATACCCTCTTCGTGCCAAGTGCATAAGGCTGTTGTGTTCCATGTTACAACTCCAAATCACTTGACCTAATACTCTAAATTACTCGACCTGGTGATTTAAAACTGGCCACGAGAGAATAGATAGAACTCACTTTATAACTCAGATGAAGCTTTCTCTCTGCTCTTTTTGCTGCATTGACTACTTCTCTCTCAGCTGCAATGCTAGTAAATAACCATTAGCTTCATCAGGGCAAACAAAAAGAATTTATAGAACTCAACAACTAAGCAATAGAATAGAAAACATTGCTACTGGAAATACTAAAGCACTCTGTATATTTTGCTCTGTGCTTCAATAAGAGAAGAGAACATTTTAAAGTTCCCTGCCTTCCATTTATGGCTCGATAGGTTTTGTAATAAACTAACAGATAGGCTGAGATAAAAGGTTTACCTTTCAAATCTACAGAGTCCACAAAAACACATTGCCGAATTTCCCTCTTTTCAGAGGAACCCAAATGACATTTTCAGCAGTACAGCAAAAGACAATAGCAACAATAACAACATTAACTGATTAACAAAACCTCAACAGGAACAAAATTAAATCGCATTAAAAAAAACCTTAAAGTCTCCAAATATCCAAACATAGATAACATGCTAATAGCATCGAGAAAATAGCTAAATTGTCCTTGTGAAAACCAGACAAACCAATTAGTCTACACTCTGCATGATATCTTCAGCAGTGAACTTAGTGCCCTTCTCTTTCTCTCCAACAGCGCGACCTTTTGCCTTGCGATCCAACAAAGACTTCCTATCCTTATCAAGCCTCAACTTTGTAACAACGACCTTCGATGGGTTGATGCCGACATTAACTGTCGACCCGTTTACCTTCTCGCGTGTAATCCTCTCGATGTGGATGACCCACTTTCTGCGATAAACTTGAACCACCTTGCCCTCGCGTCCTTTGTAGGTCCCACGAACAACCTGGACTTCATCGTCCTTGCGGACTGGCATGGATCGGACGTTGTACTTCTGGCGGAGATCGGTGGAGAGCGGGGCGCTCATTAAGATCCTGCGTACAGAGGACGGTGCCGTGAAGTGGGCCTTCCGGTTCTTGCGCCTGCTAGAGGAGACTCTGGGGTTATACTTCATTGTGGCGGTTGTCGGTGGGCTCGCCGGGATTAGGGTTTCGGGAAGAGTTGGGGTAAGAGACGAAGAGATTTATATACGGTGGAGGGAGGAATAGGGTTTTTTGCTTTCTGGTTGGTTTTTATGGTGGGCCTGATTGAGTGTCTTTGGGCTAAATTAAACTACAAGGATCGGGCCCAAGACCAAGACCATTTTGCATGATTGTCTTTTAACCTGAAAAATCAAGTTGAGACGTGGAATTCCAATCTCCTCTTCAAGCTGACTTTATGCATAATGCATTAGCCTAATGCCATTAGGAACAAGAAAGCAATAGAATTTAAAATCCAAGTTGATATTTTTGGGTTCGGGCTGGACCGTCCAGTCCAGCCCAATTGTTTTTAATTTTTAGGCTGGACTGGTTTGAGATTAGCCCAGTCGAGCACACATACTAATTAGGCTTAGCTCAACCCATAAACACTTCCAAATTCCATTATAAAGAAAACAATGGATCAAAACCCCTTTTTTCTAATTTTTTTCTTCTCTCTCTCCCGAATTGTCTCTTTTTATTTTCTTTTCTTCTTCTCCCAAGCGGTCTCCCATAGCTGTCATGGCCAAACCAAAACTGGTTCGTCCATGCTCTCTCTTTTTTTCCTTCCTTTGTCCTATGTCACTTTATTAACCCCCTTTTCAAGTTAGATCAAAGCCCCAAATCAATTTTTTCAACAAATTTTTCCTAATTATGATCGAACTCTTTAAGTTTTTCAACTTTCAATATTCTTAATTGGCTTGATTTCAAGATCAAGCCAATTCTAACCTAAATGAGTCCTTATTTTCAAAAACGTTTCAATCTAGTCTAATTCGGAGTTTAGTTATGAGTTTAAGCCCTAAATTGAAACTACAGTTAATGTCATTTGGCCTTCTTTTCCATTATTCAATCACAATTTCCACCTAAACAATAAAATCCCCAAATTCAAAATAATAATAATAATAACCATCTAAAAATCCCCAAAAATTTCCATTTTTTTGAAATTTAAACCCAAATTGATCTAGGTTTTAATTCAATTCAAACTTCTAATTAAGTGAAAAGCAATATATATATATATATATATATACACACACACACACGTTGGTTCTCCATCACGACGTGGAGTGGAAAATTGCAGGAGTAGGGAGTGTTAGATTGCTATTTCCTGCTGAAGGCTCAAAATTACACTGAAGATGCGTCCCTCTATCCCAGTTTAATTTTTTTTTATTGTTTTGTATTTCACTTTTTTTGTAATTTTTTTGTATTTTTCTGGTATTGAAATTCTAATATTAACAAAGAATTTTTTTAATTCTTAGTTAATTTCTTTTTTAAATAGATAAACATGAGCTAAAATAATTAAAAATATATATATCAAGGGAACAATTGAAAGTGAAAAATATGGGGTATGACAACAAGTATTGTGATTTAGTCAGAGAAATTTTATAATACACAAGGGGTAACTAATGGCATGTATTGTAGTTACTCCATGAATTTATTTTGAGGAGAGAGATAGACACATTAAATTACATCCGAACCCACCAAAAGTGATAAGAAGATTTTTCACGTTCACTCAAAATTTTTTTAATTTTCTCTCTCCTGTTTTTTTTTTTTTTAATCTCTCTCCTTAAAGTGGATCCATGGAGTAACTACCGTATATGTCATCGATCCTTGTGTATTATAAAATTTCTCAATCGATCAAGGTAAACGATAATGAAATAAGAAAAGGATTGTCTTCGACCTATATAAGGCTAACTTCGACAAATTTAGGGCAACAAATAGTTCATTAAAGTTAAATACTACCAATAAATCCAAGTCCATCTAATTTACTAATACGAGAAATTATGTTTGTCAATGATTTTAAAAACATAACTTTCATAATTGACTCCATATATTTAAAAACAATTTAATATTTTTTATGAATATATGTCAATCATAACAATACTAACCACTTGCATATGTTTTAGGCTCCTGGATTTTGAATTACATAATGAGATAGTTCTTTCTTGTTATATTATAAGAACTCTAAAACATGAGTGTTTTTCTATTCAAACAATTATAGCACAAGGCATAGTTTACTATTTATTTTACTATTCCTACAAAAGTGTTTCTTTTAATTTTGCACCCTTATTTACTTTTTTAATTATATCACTCGCCATTGCTACTTTTACTCTTTTTTTGTCCCCTTAACCTTCTCTTCTTATCTTTTCACCTTTTCCAGCTACCATTGCCTTCGTTTTTTTGCTATTTTTTCTATTCATCTATTAGCCTAACAAGATTGCAATTAGTTCATGTAGTATCAAGCTTGGTTTATTTGCTTCAAAATCTAGTTGTGGAACTTCAAAAGTAAGTGCAGAGTAAGAAGGTCCATTATAACATGAGAGGGACTTTTAAAGTAAGAGCAAACCTAGGTACTGCTACATTATTCATACTAGTTACACCGAAGGTGTGAGATAGAGATGATTGACCTATACCTTCTACTACACTTATCCCACAACTTGCGGCCTCCATCCAGCTCGCAAGTTACACTCGCTCAACCACCCCTACACGTGTTGTGTCTCTTGTAGCACATAATTGTCAACTCCCCACAATCCCGCAATCACCACTACTACCGACCTTCACCCTACAAGCAACTTGCAATCCTCCCAAGTCAACATGTCCATTCAAATCACAATATTGTTAGCCTCCACCCTACTTTCTTCCACTCTCCTATTATTTCACCCCATACCATACTTGTCAAAATATCTCACACCATCATCGGTAGGGAATCAATAATTTCATAAGTATATAAAAACGAGCAACAAACAAGGGAGAGGAGGTCGGTTCTTGAAAAAGAAAAATTGAAGAAAAAAAATCCAAAAAAGAAATAGAAATCGAACAAAAAAGAAAAAAAAACTAAAAAAAAAACACAAAGAAGAAAAGGATTTACCTATTTAATTGGAGCAAGCAGTACCTCTCACTATCATCCTCGGTTCGAATTCGTCTAGGTAAACTAATCCTCCGAATGTAATTTTTCTTTGTATTTAGGTTTCGAAACTAAGGGATTTTTTAATTTTGATTGAAATTGAGTTTGAATGACTGAAAGAAAGGCTAATTAAAGTTATTTGAGTTGTTAATTTAAGGATCAAACCCTAAATTTAGGCTTAATTGAACTAGATTAAAACCTAGGGTTTCTAGATTTTTTTAACAATAATAAAATTTAGGGGTTTTCAAGAAATTGGGTTCTAGGAGACTTGAATTGACTTGATTTTAAGAGAAATCAAGGCAATTAAGGCTAATTAAAAAAAATTAAAACCTAGGGTTCAATCAATTTTAGGAAATTTTGGGCAAAGGATTGAATAGGGTTTTTTTTAATCTAATGGAGAATCAATAGAGGGAGGGGTTGAAGGAGGATTAGAGGAGAGAGAGTGAACCAAAGATGAACTTTGGTTCATTCTTCCATGGAGATCGGGTAGAGAGAGAGAAGAAGATGATGAGACGAGGCAGAAGAAAGGAAGAGAAGAGGAGAGGAAGATAGCGAAAAAGTGAGGGAAGGAAGGAAAGAAAGAGAGATCGAACTAGACTGGTTCGTTTCTTTCGAAGAACTGGACAAGGAGATGAAGAAGAAGATGAGAGAAGGAGAAGAAAGAGAGAGATATTGGGTGAGAGAAAGAAGAAAAAAGAAAAAAGAAGATTTGATCCAAAAAAAAATGAAGGTTTAGTTGGTGTTAGTAGACTTGGGTTCGACTAAAAATGAAATGGGTTGGCCTCATGTGTGGTTGGATTGGGCTAATCTCAACCTAGTCTAACTCAAAAAAAAAAAAAAAAAAAATAGAAGAAGAAAAAAGAAGAAGGAAGAAAAATTGGGCTGGAAAGTACATAATCAACAACGTTATGTTCAAATTAATTAATCGTTGGTATAATCTTAGACTCATGATATAAATTAATTATTTCAACTTTATCTCATTTATTTCATGTAAATATGTTAACTATCAATTGTTGTACATATATTTTTTACTTCAACTTTCAATATTTTTTTGTTTTCCCTTCCAAATTTATGTTTCCTTAAAAAAAATATAGTGCTCTTTATGATAACATTTACTTCTTAGTTATTTTGTTATTTATTAAAACTTATATACCTAGGTACTTTACAAATTTAGTGAGTTGATTATTTATAGTTGGTGCACATTTTACTTGATTTGTCTTCAAAATTTATGTACAACTATTGTTTATGTTTGTTTCATAATTTTAAATATTATAATATCTATAATTATTATATTGGTTTATGATGAAAACAATTGATATTCATTATTGTCCACAACTTTAAGAGTTATTCCGAGTTCTATATACTAATTTAATGTTATTTAACGATTTACATTCTTGTATTATTTATTTTCGTCTATGTTAGTATTATATTTTTTATTCAATTAAATGGTTTTATTATTGAATATTTTTAGGCACTTTTTTGTTGATTTTATTGCAAAATGCCAATTCTAATGTTCTTACGTCATATTGTTGTTTTAGCATCCGATATGCCATTTATTTCAGCAGTTTCTTACTTTTTCTTTATGTTTAGGGTTTTACATATGTAAAATAATTTTGTTACTCATCTTCTTCAGTTATACATGTGCTTTTTATTATTATTATTATTATTATTATTATTATTAGTATATTTCACTTGCTACGTTATAATATTTAGGTCACTTGGCTCATAAATCTTTGTTATGTCGTATTTTTTTTTCGATTAACCATTACGTTCATGTTTTATTGCAATTTTATGCATAAAAACTATCTTCAACTTATCTACTATCGAAAACAATTATTTTTTGACAAATTATTCCCAAGCAAGACAAAAAAAATAAAAAAAAAGTTTTATTTTTTTCCTTTTATTCCCCTACATGTTTCGTTTTCCACATTTCTTTCATTTTCTTTTCGAGTAAATATTTTGGTTTTTGCAATAACAATTTTTTTCTTATATTAGTGTTAACTATTATTTCATTCAATGAATTTATTTTAATTTATA